CTAATGCATAGCATTCCATTTTGGTGGTAACTTTGCAGTTTAAGAAACTTGTGGTTGTGTTTAAGAATGTTAAGAATTTTGCCTCTATTCGTCAAAGACGATTTGGTCATGATATTTTTTCTGCTAGCTCTTAGAAACAGAAGGAAGGGGAGCCTTGGAGAGCAACAATAAGTTGTCTCCGTGTGACTTATAGGTCAGGGGTGCGAGCCGTGGAATCAGCCACTGATGCTTGTATCAGGGTAGGCGGCCTACATCACACCCCCTTGGGATACAACCCTTCCCTAGATCCTGCGTAAACTTGTGATGCTTCGTGCACCGGGCTGCCCTTTTTTCTTAGAAACAGAAGAAATTATTTGAGCAGGGGAGTCACAATACGGTTTATGGGGGTGGGGGTGGGGGTGAGTATATATTCTTCAACTCCTGCTTCTCTTTGACAAATTAAATATGGCCAGATGTTGCAAGTTAGTGTTAGAGAACTTAATTAGATGAAAGGAGAAACCTTTGCCCTGCTGTCAAGGGTATGAACTCTGGTTTAAAACTAATTCATTCCTGCCCCTAAGAATGGTTTACCAGGCCTTGGATAATCTTCCGAATGAGGAAATAGTTTCTGCTCAATGTATTCAGTAGCTCACACCATTTCTTGGTGGTTATTTTTTTGACTACGCAATTTCTTCATAAGACTGCCAATAGAGATCAGCATTGTTAGAACAGTACTCGTGCAGTAACACTAATCCTTAAAGTTTTCATCATTTTCGCTGACGTTTCTTGTTTGTTGTTTTCCACACTTGACTAGTGTATAACTTCTTAGGCCTGAAATAGCCCGTGAAACATCGAATGTTAATCTCTTTTATGTCATCAAAGTCGAAAAGGAGAGTCTTTATATAGTGGCTGACTCATATTGTTGGTCTGGAGTTGAGAAAGTTGTTATGGCTGCAAATCCAGATATCCTGAAGTGCCTTGGAAGACGACTGAGCTGGATCCAAGAGTCTTATGTTGAGAATGTGAGTGGCTTAAGTTATGATAATCTGAATTTGAGAATGTGAGTGGCTTAAGTTATGATAATCTGGAGTCGTTTCCACGAGACTTTTTAGATTAAACGTGTCTTGCATCTGAAATAGTTGAGGATGCTCGTGAAGCCTCCGATGATCTTACGTGCAGGTTCATTGTTTTGTACGAACAGTTTTGCTCTACTATTTATGCTGGTATACAGTTTTACCTTGGAATGCAGGGTAAGGCTGCGTACAATAGACCCTTGTGGTCCGGCCCTTCCCCGGACTCTGCGCATAGCGGGAGCTAGTGCACCGGGCTGCCCTTTTTCGATGTAACATGTTTGATACTTCATCAGCTTCTATTCATAGCTAGCTGTTAGATGCTTTATTGTTATCTGCAACTCTATGCTACTCAGCCATTTGACACCTCAATGGATGGTGGTTTTATATGTTGGTTAGAGACACAAGTTCCTGTGTTAAAACTGTATATAGGATCTGCATCTAAGGGTGTGGCCGCGATCAATGAAGTAGGCGAAAACTTTGAGAGACCAGTGTTCTAATCCCTGCAGACATGAGCTGAACTAGGTATAGTGAAGGGACTGAACCCCCTTCGTCGGAAAATTACACAATATAAAAAGAGTAAAAATGATCTTTGTTGGCTATATGTGAGTTATTGAATCCCCTTGACATGAAGAAAAATTCATGTATAGTAGTAAAGGTGGTTCGAAATTGCTTTAGGTCATTTCAAATTTCAAATGTGAGATCCTAAAATTTTCCCTATGTATAAATTTCTGGTTCTGGCACTGCCGGTAGAGAAAAAAAAAAGTTAGGTGATCTCATCTTATCTGCCTATGTCTTGTCGTGCAGAGTTATTCGTTGTGTATGTTGGTGGGAAGTATCAGCTGGTGAAATAATTGATGTGCGAGTAAGTTAGTCTGGACAAAACTGGCTTTCGAAAACAATATAGGATATGCTATGTGAAAATTGAAGGGGAGCCTTGGCGTAACTGGTAAAGTTGCCATGTGACCAGGAGGTCACGGGTTCGAGACGTAGAAACAGCCTCTTGCAGAAATGCAAGATAAGACTGCGTACAATAGACCCTTGTGATCCAGCTCTTTCTCCGACCCCGCGCATAGCGGGAGTTTAGTGCACCGAGCTACCGCCCTTTTTATGTGAAAATCTTGGAATGCCTTAGATGCTAAAACCAGCCCAGCATTATTCATCCATTACTTCTAACTTTTTTCATAGTGGAGAAGTTTGTACACCCAAAGAACAAAAGAATGTGGTAAGACCATGTGGTGGGAGCAGTTAGTTAGTCTTCAAAGATGGGCTCTTAAGCTAAATAATTGGTCTTTGTCTGAAATCACTGTTTTCCTATCAAAAGCAATTAATAGCAGTCAAAGATTTGATGCTCTGTTTGGCCTTTGAGAAACAAAAAAGGCCAAAAACATATCTAAGCAAAGAGAGTGATTGGTTGTCTAGTTGTCTATGAAGTTGTTTAGAGCTGTTGAGTCAACAATTGATTAGGCATAAAGCTTAAGATTCTTGATGGTAAAGGTCAACCCGGTGCGTAAGTTCCCGGTATGCGGACGGGGTCCGGGGAAGGGCCGCACCATATGGGTCTATTGTACTCAACCTTACCCTGCATTTCTGCAAGAGGATGTTTTCACGGCTTGAACCCGTGACCTCCTAGTCATATGTCAGCAATTTTACCAGTTACACCAAGGTTCCCCTTCAAAATTCTTAATGGTAAATGAAATATAAAATTTTCACTTTATTACTAAACGACCTGTTATATTAAGGGTTAATTACACTAAACACCCTTATAATATAACTCATTTCGAATACATCCCCCATATTATAAAATTAAACACTTACATTCCTTATACTATGAAATCTTACACTTACATCCCGTATGAGGTGTAACCATAATTAAGTATATGTTAATCTCTAAAGTGTTTTCCACAATTCAAACTTTTGTTTCACATCCTCATTGTTCAATCAACACAATATCATTCGCAAATAGCGTGCACCATAGAAGCTTACCTGGAAACCGAACTAAAAAGAAAGGTTTCTTTTTTTGAGTCGCAAATTATCTTTAGTTGGCAAAATTCTTTGTTCAAGTGATACGGCTTTAACTAAAACATTTGAATAATAACAATAAAAGTATAATAAGTTTAATAGATACCATGAAATTCTAACACATCAAGAATGTTATAAAGTTCTACTCAAAATCTGATGTTAATAAATAATGGTTACATATAAAATTGAGAATCTAATCTCGAGAAAAATATATTAAGTCGTGTGTATCCTTGCTTCAGAGGGCTTGTGGTGGATGATTTAACCGTTACTCACTTTGTGTGCCTATTTTTCTGACACGCTCCTCTACATGGTATCATAGGATAATCCGCTCTTTCCATCGAAAAACTTACATTATAATAATTATGTTAATTCAGATCTATCTTTTCGTCGGAACCTTGCCAAATGGTGATCTAGTGTATAAAAAGAGCCTAAAAAACCAATCCTATAGCAAATGGTTCAAAGTGGAGTTGCTAAAGACTTCCTCAAATGGATATAGGATCAATAATGGTGCTCCATCTACCCTACCTTCTTGTGGGGTTGGATTTGGTAGCATAAAGTTCACAAAAATCAAACAAATTCTCAAAGCTTAGTATTTTCTTGGAAAAGAATATTTGCATCTTAAGTTATCTAAAACACAATACTTGTACTTTATGTTACCTCTAACATGATAAAAAGTATCCTTTGAGTTCAAGAATACCCATATATCCTCCTCAACAAGTTCTCCCTCCCTCCCCCCCCCCCCCCCCACACACACCCTCCCTCTCCACTCTTCCGTGCTGATCCAAAATTTAAATTCGATGGCTAAATCTTTAAGTTTTGTACCAGCGGGCCCCTTAAACTTTTGAAATTAGGGGTTTGAAGTAATAATATTTGTCGAAATTTAGTGATTGTCTGCATATATACTTATGTTCCATGTCAAAAATATTGTATTTAAGTGAACTCAAGATAGTTCTTTTATTCTCCTCAAGAGTTTTTTTTTTCAAAAGAACATGCGTTTAATATACATGTGAAATAGAGCACAAAGTTTTCTTTTTCCCTCTATTGCTTTTGAGCTGGATCAATGAATTTCTTGTCCACAAAACAGTTAAATGAACATTAGTTCACAGAAAGATAAGGCAGTCAACATCTAATTTATTAGGTGATGTTGCTGACAAATGGACCTCTGTTTTTAGAGGTTTTAGTAAAAAGATACTACAAAAACATTGATTTCAATATCAAGTTGGAACCTAACCAATCATGAGAAAAGAGGAGCAAATGTCAACAACAAAACCAGCTGCATAGCATAATTTACAATCACTTGTATAGTTGTAAATCAAAGGAAAAAACACTACAGCAACAACAACATATTCAGTGTAATTTCACAAGTGGGGTCTGAGAAGAATTGTGTGTATGCCGACTTTATCCCTACTTTGTAAAGGTAAAGACAGAGGTGGATGCAACGTATTCGGGTTCAGAACACGGTACTTTTGATGCGGAGCATAAATTTATATGTAAAAATTTACTAATATTATAATATATAGCAATATGAACCCATAAATTTAAAAATATAATGAATTTAATGTTAAAAACCTTAAAAGTTGAAACGATAAAACTTAAATCCTAGCTTCGCCTCTGGGTAAAGAGGCTGTTTCCGGTAGACCCCTAGCTTAATGAAAGTATAATCACAACAGTTATGACAAGAAAAAAACACTACAACCAAAAAAAAAATAGAAATTAACGATGGAAAACTTTCGTATCTAAACAGCAATAACCTGTCATTAATCCTATTTAGCGACGAATTATCATAACATCCTGATAGCTATAGGCTATTTAGCGACAAATTAGCAAAAAATTCATAGCTAATTTTTTTTTTTTTTTGGAAAGGACAAAGATGTTCAAAGAAGTTAGCTTAAAAAAGTTAATGAAACAATAAAGTGAGTAGTTGTCATTTCATATAGAAATCTAAACCACAATACACATTTTAAAATCATGTCCTTCCTTTTGTCCTTCTACATGGTTTTGTATTTATAGCAAGCTGTACATAGGCTAAAAAACTTATCAATGGCTCAACATGAAACTTCTTCATCTTCTTGGTTTATTCTTCTTTCTCTTCTTGCAATCAAATTAATGTCTTTTTCTGGAGTTTCTTCTTTAAATCTTGATGAAAATGACTACATCTCGGCCGTCGGCGATCCGGGGATGAGAAGGGATGGGCTAAGAGTTGCAATAGAAGCATGGAATCAATGCAATGAAGTTGGAGAAGAAGTAGCTAAAATGGGCAGTCCAAGAGCTGCTGATTGCTTTGATGTCTATAAAGCTTCTCCTAAATCAAAAGGTCAGTTGACGTCCAGAGGCGAATTCAGAATTTAAAGTTAATAACATTCAAGATTGTGAGTTCTTTCAAAATATGAGTTCAACACTTAATCTTTAAACTACTTTTTTTGCTTATTTTTACATATATATATTTAGGGGTCGTTTGGTTGCAAAGCGGGATATCCAGGGACTAACAATCCCATGATTATAATTCTGGGGTTGTTAATGCCGCATCCAATTTGGAATAGTTAATACCACCATTTTGGTATAGAATTTGTATCGATATTAGCTAATACCAGTGACCAAAGATGAATAAATACAATCTCAAATTCTATCCCGAGATTATAATCCTAATCCCAGTAACCAAACGACCCCTTATAGTCTATGCTAATAGTAAGTTAAGTTGAAGTGGCTCCTAACACTCTAGGTCTGCCTTGGAGTTGAATTCCATATTTCAAGGGCTTTTTTCACTTTTAGCCGCAGCAAAAACTACTTGTATTCGGTAGCCGAAAAAGTGTGTAAAATCTGCATAATTTTTATATATAATATACAGAATGTATACAAAAAATATACATTTTTCCGGCTATTATTTTGAGAGAGGCTATACAATGTCTTTTTCCCATATTTTTTCAATCATTTAAGTTGTCTTGAGATATAATGGCTATGTTTTACAGGGGCAAATAATTGTTCACTTTGCAATGCAATACCATACATGTTGGTACACAGAGTGACAGAGGAAGAAAACAGGTTAGGAATAGGAAAACCTTTTCTTGGATTGGAGAAAAAGGCAATTCTTGATATTGACCAATATGCAGCACAAAAAGAACTCTATTTGGGATCAAAATGTCAAGTTGAAGACAAACCAAAACCATGGCAATTTTGGATGATCATGCTTAAAAATGGAAATATGGATACCTATGCTGCAAAATGTCCGAAAAACGGTCACAAAATAGGTCCATATGGTCCTGATAATAGATTTCCATGTTTTGGCAAAGGATGTATGAATCAGCCATTGATTTTTCACAATTATACAACATTACAAGGTCATAATAGGACTACACTTAAAGGAAGTTTTTATGGAACATGGGATTTGAGTAGTAGATTGAGTAAAACAAGAGAAGAGAATAGTTCTTTCTATTCTGTTAAATGGCAGAAAGAATTAGGAAAAGATAGTTGGATTTTTCAGCATGTGTTGAGGACATCAACTAAGTATCCTTGGCTTATGCTTTACCTAAGATCAGATGCTACATTTGGTTTTTCTGGTGGATATCATTATCCAACTAGGGGCATGTCAAAAATTGTGAGTACGCACTTTAATTTTCTAAATATTTTCTTCGTATGTTGTAAAGTTGTTGCCATGTGACCAGGAGGTCACGGGTTCAAGCCGTGGAAACAGCCTCTTGCAGAAATGCAAGGTAAGGCTGCGTACAATAGACCTTGTGGTCTGGCCCTTTCCCCGATCCTGCGCATAGCGGGAGCTTAGTGCACCTGACAACCCTTTTTTCTTCTTCATATGTGGGGAAAAGGTCACAAATACATCTTTATTGTACGAAATATCTTGATTTTAAACTACTTTATATGCTTTTGGGTCATTCATACTCTTGTCGTTAGTAAATCATTTCGTAATTGCCCTTGACTTTAATGGAGCTCCGACCTGAAGTGTAAAGGAGGATAAATTTTACATCATAGCCAAAAGTAGAGGCGTAAATTTGCACTTCTTTCTCGAAGTATTTTGTCAAGTGGAATCCATGCGGTCTATATTGGAGCTCCGTTAAAGTTCGAGGCAAAAACGACATGATTTACTGATGATAAGAGCATGAATGACCAGAAAGTATAACAAAAGACAAAATTAAGATATTTCTTATTGTTGATGTATGCTTATAGTCTACTTTACGAAATATCATAATTTTAACCTTCGTTATATGCTCTTAGGTCATTCATACCCTTGTCGTTAGTAAATCATTTCGTATTTGTCCTCGACCCTAACAGAGCTCCAGCCTCAGTGTCAAGGACGATAAATTTTACATTATAGCCAAAAGTAGAGGAGTAACTTTGCAAATCCGTTCAGTCCACGTTGGAACTCCATTAAACTTTGAGGCAAATACGACATGATTTACTAATGATAAGGGCATGAATGACCAGAAAGTATAACAAAAGGTAAAATCAAGATATTTCGTGTAGTTGATGTGTAAATTTGAACTCACCCTTATGGATCTTTGAGATTATAAATACTTTTGTGATTTGTAGATACCAGAATCACCAAATTTTAAGGTGAGATTCACATTGAATGTGATTAGGGGAGGAGGTCCAAGCAGCCAATTTTACTTAATGGACATGGGGAGTTGTTGGAAGAACAATGGAAAGCCATGTGATGGCAATGTAACATCCGACGTTACGCGATATAGCGAGATGATCCTGAATCCAGAAACACCATCTTGGTGCAAACCAGATAGCCCAAAATTATGTCCACCATATCACATTTTCCCTAATGGAACAAGAATTCATCGAAACGATACGACTCGTTTTCCCTATGAGGCTTATCATATGTATTGTGCACCTGGAAATGGTGAACATATTGAACAACCTAGTGTTCATTGTGATCCTTATAGTAATCCTCAGCCTCAAGAAATTCTGCAGATTTTGCCACATCCTGTTTGGGGAGATTATGGTTATCCTACTAGGAAAGGAGATGGTTGGATTGGAGATCCAAGAACATGGGAACTTGATGTTGGGAGGTTGTCACATTCACTTTATTTTTACCAGGTTTGAACCAATCCGCTCTTTTCTTGATTTCAAAACGAGTTTAAGTTCTTTGCACTAACGATATTAAAAATATATTTACAATCAGGTTTTTATAAGGTAATTATAGGTAAATCTTGATTAGCATTAATTAGTAACGTAGTAAAAATGGTAATCTACCTACTATCACATGTTACACTACACTGTCAGTGTCAAAAAATCTTTACTATGTCATTGTACTATAACCATGATTTGGAAAACTTGTCCTAGGCATAATTTGGTAGCCAAATTGATCATCTGTCTTGGATAAAGTTAAATAATGAAAGTAGACTTTGATCACAATTTTTTTTATATACCTTTTAAATATTTTGAATTATTAATTATTGTAACTTATAGTACTTTTAATATAGTTTTTAAATATATAAATTTTATTTTGAAAAATTTAAAGATTCTATGTTCAAACACGCGATCAAATTTAAGAAGTTTAAATCTCAAAAAGAAATGTCATATAAATTGGGACGGATGGAGTAAAATGCAAAATTACTTAGAAAAGGTATGATAAATAATGATGGAACATGTTTTGTTTTAGGATCCAGGAACTAAACCAGCAAAGAGGAAATGGAGTTCAATTGATTTGGGAACAGAAATTTATAAAGATCCAAATCAAGTGGCAGAGTGGACTGTTAGTGATTTTGACATTCTTGTACCTAAGAAAAAGTTGTGATAATGTAAAAAATAGGCAGCCCGGGCGTTGGTGCACTAAGCTCCTGCTATGGACGAGGTTTGTGGAAGTGCCAGGCGACGTTGGATTTAATGTACGTAGCTTTACTTTCCAAGCTATTTTCATGGTTTGAACTCGTGATCTCCTGATCAAACGTCATCAATTTTTACCGTGCGCCAATATTGAAAAAATATTTTTTTTCTTCTTATTCTTTTTACAAATTTGGGAATATCCAATGTGGTCTGAAGAAAGACTACAAGTTTTCCCCAAGGGATTTATTTTTTATTTTTTATTTTTATTTTTGTTTTCCAAATTGTGTACTTGAAATTGAGAAGTGGAAAGAAGCTTCTCACTGATTTTCTTTCTTGGAAATTTGTTATTTGAATTTCTGATTTGAGCAATTTTAGCTTTGGCTTAAAGTGGAAGTAGCTGAACCAAACCTTCTACAACTAACTGGTTGTAAAGTCACAAAGGTGAATCTGGAGAGATGTCAACAAATATAAAACAGTCAAACATATCAGAAAGTTGATTTTAAAATGATTAATTTGATGATCTAAAAGATTAGAAATAAATCAACTACTATCCACCAATAAAATATCAAATAAAGCTTGATTATCATAAACAATGGTTACGAGTTCGAGCCCCGAAAATAGGTAACTCTTAATGGGGAGTGTTTCCTCCTTTATAATGGATCTTAATCTAAATTAGTCAGATCATTACTTATTAAACTCTGAATATTAAATAATTAAACCCACAAAGAAAGAAGGTAAAACCAACTTGTTTGGCAAATCTTTGCAAGTGGAAAGCATAGATGAATATTTTTGGGATCTTTATACAAATAGTCGGCCGAATTTATATTTTTTTAAGCTGGTATACATAAATTATATACTGATTATAAATGGTTAAACACAAGTTATACATGAATTATAAACCACTTTTGATTTCTGAGAAACAAGCAAAATTTGACTCATTTCCTTTGCCAAGTTGAACTAGCTCAATAAGAGAATTTTGCTGTTCTATTTCTGGGGACATAGATTTTTTTGATATCTTGAAATAGAACTATCATGCAAAAAACAATATCAATTGATGAAAGAAATAACTTGTGACAGTAATTTACAACAATTTACAGTCTCAACAGGAAGAACTTGTCTGTTCAGCTTTCGCGAATCAAATTAGTTGGCTCGCTCAAAACATATTTGGGCAACTCGTACTTGGCGCCTGTAATAGAACAATAGATGATATAATGAGATTACAGAGAAAGGAAGTTAAAAGTGTTTGGCAAAGAGTATTACTACGAACCTCTCTCGTCATAGCATACTGTTAAATCGGGGGCTTGCACAATTACCCCAGCACTGTCGACAATTGCTTGTGCAAGGCTTATATCCGACTCTGCTGCAGCTCGGAGTGCATCCCAGATCTCTGAAGAGGAAAAAATAATGTTTCAAGTCTTTTACGATATTTTCATCTGCTATGCTGTTTTATGAATTGACCTACCTTCTATGTACAAATAGGTATGTTCATTAGTGGCAGCAGTTCAATTACCTCTCCAACGCGAGAATCAACAATGTCATTTTAATCTCAAAGCTCTAGCTATTTCTAAGGTGAAACAGTACAAATACATTCGACGTTGCATTTTGTATTAGAGAGTGATGTGTAACATGAAAGACGAAGGAGTTCAATGCGTTGAATGGTATCCCAAATGCATGAACCGACAATAAATAAACTGATAAGCTAGTGAGCCTATATTAAAGTGATTACTGGAGTTAGATTGTTAAAATAAAAGGTCAAAGCATTCATAACTACTCAAAAGTGATACGCACAACACTATATTATCAATGAAGATCCTATTGATCAATGCAATTCCACCCAAATATCAATATATATTGTCAAACATCTTTTCTATTTCTTTAAAAAGAAATTGTCAAACAAGTAACTTATGCATTCCAGATTCTAGAGTTGACATACCAATAACTGTGGAAGGACGAACTTCGTAGTTATATTGATGCAAAATTTAGAAGTATATTTCAATTTGTAAAGTTGTTGAATCAGGCCATGCACTTCTGACTCTACTTAACCAGTTATTCAAGAAATCCCGAAACTAGTAATTAAAAAGGGGCAGTCCGGTGCACTAAGCTCGCGCTATGTGTGGGGTCCGGGCAAGGGCCGGACCACAAGGGTCTATTGTACGCAGCCTTACCTTGCATTTCAGCAAGAGGCTGTTTCCACGGCTTGAATCCGTGACCTCCTGGTCACATAGCAACAACTTTACCAGTTACGCCAAGGCTCCTATTCAGAAACTAGTAATTAGTATACAGTAAAAATTCTCATATTCTGTGAAGATTACCTTTTCGACCCCCATAGTGTGGTGCTGTGTCCCAGAATTCGTCACGCATCCGTACAAGCTGATCCCTCGTAATAGGTTCTGAATGATTCCAAGGCTTTGGTTTTCGTATCTGCTTAGCTGCTTCTACAATCAAGAAGCAAGGTCAGATGTTCGTGAAGTTCAAGAGTACTGTTAAAGCAAATATTTCACATAAGATGTTAAAAAGATATGGTCAATGATCTGTTGATTTTAGATACTCAACAAATTGAATGATGAACTACCACTACCAAAAAATTTTGGTTCCCACCCGGTGTCCGGTACACTCATTGGAGCCCGACTATATCCGGAATCGCGCCGCGTTGGGATCCATTAGGGGGGAAGTGCTCCCTACCAACGATTTTTCCATACCCAAAGCTCGAACCCGAGACCTCTAGTTAAGGGAAGAGCAGCCCCATCACTACCAGAAATTGTGTGCCCTTCCCTAATGTTCTGAAAGTAAATACTGTAAAAGAATTATGAACTAATAATTCCAGTCTTAATGTCCTAACGTTCCTCGGCCAGTTTATTTGAGCAAAGAACGGCTAGTCCTATTTGACAAGGCGACTTATATATCTGGAAGAAAACATCTGTTATGGAGTTATAGATAAGCACCTCTATTTTGATGACTTTCAGATAGTCATTTTACCTTCAATTTCATATGCATGTTACTTGGGATTTAGGAATCCACAGGAAATAGCAGGCAGCACGAAGCCATGGGAAAGCATAATTGCAGATCTGAAGTGTCAATCGCGCACCCTATATATTCTATAGTCCTGTAATTATAGAATCCCTTTTGTATGATGGATTCCGATTCTTATGCTACCTGTTAATCACTCAGAAATTTAATATATTTTGGAAACATAAGTTGGGTATAACTTCTGCCCATATTTTCTCAATGTTTAATCAGCTTATAATTAATTAAGCAGGCAATATTCCTCCTTTAACACTAAAATCTTCACTTTATAAGTAATGTATCTCTTTTTCCTTCTAAAAGGGATTCCTTACTACACTATAGCACATACTTCATACAACCCTGTGCTTTAAATAAGCCTTTTTTTAAATAAGGTAACGAGAACGAAAATGATAAACAAAAATGTGATGGCGTTTGGAGGCGAATTTTTGAATGAAAGAGTCAAAGCGGGTAGCTTGTGAAAAGCAAAATTTGGCTAAAAAGGGAACAAAAATCACTTTTCAGAAGCAAAAAACACACATAGAACTGCAACAAATCCGTACTATGATGCCATTTTACATTTGCTGTTTAAGGCTTCAGATTTGTAGGGCAATAAGCCATTAATGGAAAGAACAAATACAAACTACTAACTATGAGATAACAGGTGAGTATGACGGGCATAACTGGGAAATGACTAAGTGACCTAAGTATTCATCTAACATTCAACTTCCTAGGAATATGACCCTTAATAGACGCTGACGGGATGATCTCACTCACTTTCAGCTGTAAACAGCAAAGCAGGGATGTACGACTTCTGCTACATAAAGTATCATTTTTAACGGAAAACAAAAATGAGGGTAATTGAAGGTTGTTAAGACCATTCACTTAGGAGGAAAATAATCCAAAGTCACTACAAACTGAAGTGTGAAGATCGTTGTCACAAGAAACAAAGCACTTTCCATAATAATAACATCAGAACTATACAGAGAATGAAGAGGAAAAGGCTAGAAAGTAGAAAACAATGAAACATGTAGCACCAAGACTACTAAAAAGATGAAAAGAAAGCAGATAATAAAAAAATGAAGCGAAAGGAACAACATGTAGTAGCAGAAATCTACCAATAACAGAATACAAGACTAACACTAATACTACTGGTATGGGAAATAGACACGCTCGACTACCTACTAGCCTTATACCTTAATTCTTGACCAAGCAAAGGAACAGAATACAAGACTAACACTAATACTACTGGTATGGGAAATAGACACGCTAGACTACCTACTAGCCTTATACCTTAATTCTTGACCAAGCAAAGGAAGCAAGATGTGCTAACAAATTTCACAAATTATGCAGGGAAAAATGGGTGTCTGACTGGAAATGAGATGACAATCAGACCACCCTAATCAGGGCAAACTAGTACAGCATAAACTCATACACTGAACTTGCTCAGATGCATTTTCTCTTGGACTCTGATTAAGAAGACTAAATCCTATGTTGTCAACCGTAGGTAAAACAGTATCCACACTGAAATCAATGATCTCTAATCAACCTAAAAATCTCCCCTGTGGTGGGCTAACAATCTGAATTCTACCACACTAAAAGCCTACTACTCGAATCCTGACTCGGAAAAAGCCTAACAACTTAAATCAATTCTCATTGACTTGTATCTCAACTGTATTCATAACCAAATGCTAACATTTTAATATTATCTCCCTCAAATCACTTAACGAACTTATTTCAGTCCTTCCTTCTACTCCTCCATCTATAGCTCCTTCTTTCAGCTTTATCCTTCTCAAGTATGATATATATATTGTTCGAGTCTTGTTTAAAGTGTTGCTTCTTAGCTGCCGAAAATATTCAGGTACATACCATAATTTACGTTGGATATATCTATATAGTAATAGTCCAATCAACACTGCCAATTAGTCAACCTATTATCTATGCATAACCATTGTTATGTTTTCTGCATCTTTACAAGCAATTCTGAGAAGTACCTGAAATTTTTGCTTTAGGCATTTCTTGACTTTCTGCCAACACACTCCATATATTCGGTTTAAACTCCTAATATTAGTCCACTGATATCTACTTACAAGAACGAGATATTGGGTATTTGCGATCTCTTTGAGATCTGCTCTCTCACCACATTTCTAAGAAGTACTTACAAACGTTCAGAACCAAAATACAATGCTACAAAACACATTACGGATCAAATCGTGTGCCAGTCTAACCTCTAGAAAAGGCGACATTATCCCACAATGGTTTCTCCAACTTAAATTTTAAAGTCATTTCTTTAGTCAATACAGATGATTCATAGAGCTGACCTCAACTAGTTTCGAGTTGAGGCATAACTGATATATCAATTCTTTAGTTAAATAAGCAACCCGCCATCATCTCTACAACCACAACCTTAACCATCAGCATAAAACGCTCACATTCTTTACTAAAGAGGATATTTCAATTAAACAAATAGTACTAATATCTCCTTGCACCTAATTCATCAAAAGACTAGTTCTCAAACATCACATACCTAAGCACGAATAAAAGTAATACAAACAATACAAACAACAACATCCACGTGCCCCATGCTACTCAGGTCAGAGCTTAAGTTAGTGATGCTTTCGGCAACTGGACTTTTGCCATCTATGGTGCAGCATTCGTGTTGTTTCACCTAGCAACACAGATGCTTGTATTGCTCTCTCACAACTACAACAACTACTACTACTAGGCCTTAATCCCGAATTACTTGGGCTCAGCTGTAGGAATCCTCTATATCCATCGTACGATTTGAGCCTGTTTCATAATTTGTATTTTAAATTGTGGTTTAACAAGAAAACAGTTAAAAGATCTTTCTCTTAATGATGGTGGTGTCGGGCCCGCTTGCGCACACGTAGACTATCTATTCCACCTATAACCTACTAGCTCCCACCAGCACAGCTACGGGTAGCCCTTCTCACCAAGGCTTAGACAGAGAGTAAAAAATCACCTAATAACAATTAAAAGATCTTGGGAAGGAAATTCCCAGAAAAGAGCAAAAACAATAAAAGCAACCAACTTTAGAACAAATGCAAATCCATTAACTAACAGAAAAACTAACACCATATATCTAAATAATAAATTGGGTATAACTAAAATTTGGCACAAAAAAAATAATTTCACCAATAATACTAACAAGAAAGCAAAAACAGTACCATTTTCTTTGGATCCAGCACAACCCATGTTCAAGAATCACCCAGAAACTAGTTTTCAACCGAAATTAAAGAGGGAAATGAACTATTTACATAAATTTCTGTTGTGGGAAAGTTTATATTATTATATGTATAAAGAGAGAAAACAAATGGGATTTTGAGTTGGTTTCTGATTCTTTTGAGCGTGACAGCTATATTCATATATAGTACTATCTACTTTATTTGCAGAAGTTTTTTACTAGATACAGTATTTAGTGAAAATACAAGCTTCAATTTTGTAGAGAGAAGAAGGAAACAAATGATTCCAGCTCAAAATATAGCGACACCTGGGATTTATTAGAGGGGTAGTTTCTAAAGAAGGTTCTTTTCTTTCCTCTTTTTAACTAGAGTCCTTTGGTTGTTTGTACTGGATAATTGGGTACCGGATACCGGGTGGAAAATTAAAAAATCGAGCCCTATGGAGGATGTGGTGCAGTGGATGAGACTGCTCTTCCCGAACCCTGAGTATGGAAAAATCCTTCATAGGGAGCGCTTCCCCCCGAATGGGGCCCTACGAGGCGTGAATCTGGATATAGTCGGGCTCCAATGCGCGTAATGAAAAATCAAAAAAACAAAGAAAAAGATAATTAATCCCAGTAAAATTATACTGCATAAAATAATACTTCATCTGTCTCAATTTATATGAGGTTATTTGATTAGGCATGAATTTATAAGAAAATAATACTTTTGTAATTTGTGGTCTAAAATAAGTGTTATATATTTAGACAAAATTACTCTCATTGTCAGTTGTTCCAACATTCTAACAAAATTGGGCCTATATTTTCCCTTCTTACCCGGTATGGCCCAGTTTCTATAAAGTTGAAAAAATATTTTCACCGATTAGCCACATCGCCGCCCCCACTCTTTTTCTTTATGCGGAGGAAACTTTTCCATTCCCAAATCAGTTTTCTCTTTCAGATTTTCTCCCCACCCCTCTTTCTCTTTCATTTTCAATTCGCTCTTGCTCTTGCTCTTTCTCTCTCTGGCAAAATAGTCGAGTTCTTCTTCAGATTTCCATTCTATTATGCTATTAATCCAAAACTCAAGTATGTAAAAGATTACCTTCAAGTGTAGCAGATCGAATAGACAAAGACTTTTTGCGGTTAAAAAGTGAAGGCGAAGATCGAAAGGAGAGTGAAGAAGACGATTGAGGCAAAGCGCGTGAAATTGTTGAATTATTCAGAGGACGACATAGAGAAGATGAACACCCAAAAGTTGCAGAGAACGCCACTCATCTGTATCTTCCTCTTCTGCAAAATAACATTGTTGAACAATCCACACCGGATCTATCTTTTGTAGTCTTTTTCTTTTCGATTCAGTGCTCGCCGAAGCCGATTCCGACTTTCACATTAGAGGATCCTTTTATTCCCGTTTGAAGAAAAAGAAAATATTGAGTGGTTATTTCTTTTAATTCTTATCTCTTATTCTAAGTTATGAAATCTCCCTTTTTTTTGGTAATTTTTCCTCCTCCTCCTCCTCCTTCTTCTTCTTCTTCTTCTTCTTCTCACTTTTAATGACTTCCGAAGGGAGGAAGAATGATGTATATGTTGTATATAACTATATATACTTTGTATAATCATGTATAACCATGTATATTTGTGTGTATTCTCATAGTTATACAGAATTATACATGATTATACACAAGTATACAAGATTATACATAATTATAACCATGTATATTTGTGTGTATTCTCATAGCTATAAAGAACTATATGTGATTATACACAAGTATACAAGATTATACATAATTATACAACATAGATAATTGCAAAAAAATTGCCCTCAGATAGTGTGTATTATTATATATTTATGTATAATTAACGTATGACTATGTATAACAATGTATATAAGGTGTTTAATAATGTAAATTTTTATTTTTTTTCCAGAAAAATAAGATTTTCCCTAACAAAACTTTGAATTTTGCAAAAAAAAATATAAAAATAAAATTATAGACTCTAAGGATGAATATATTTTTTACTTCAACTTCCTGATATTATGAATTTTAGGAAATACTATACAGAGGGAAGTAAAAAATAAATAAGAATGAAAATGGAAAAAGGGAAAAGATAAAAATGAAAGAAAAAAGCGAAATCTGATTTAGGCGTGATTTTGGGTGTAGTTGACGAAGTTCGACTTGTTTTCATAAAATTGATTAATGTTTGTGGGCTACCGGATGAAAATCGTATTTGTGGGTTAGGCGGCTGAAAAGTGCTTTCTCCAAGTGTATTTTCATGTAAATTTCCCATATATTTATGTAATTAAAAATTATCCCATTTAAAATAAAAATATATATTTTAAAGTTAAATTGTCATTAAATATAAAAAAGTCTCTGACCAAAGAAAGAGTATCATCTAAATTGAGAAAAATAAAATATACTCCTTCCGGTCTACTTTAATTGATTTTTTTTTTGTGATCCATACTATTTGATTTTTTCAGATATCAAAAAATAATTAACTTCTGTTTTCAAAGTTAAGTTGCCCTTGGAGCATAGTTTGGGTAACCCGGAATCCGATTTTTTTGGATTTTGGTTTGAATTTTTGGATTATGGATTGGATTTTGGATTTAATTTTTAAAAATTTTGGATTTCACATTGGATATTGGATTTGATACTTCGAATTTTGGATATCCGAAAATCCGAAATTCTTATACTTTATATTTAGTCAATTATCCATATGTCAACAATAATAAGTTCAATACCCTACCCATTAGATATTATCTCATATATTCAATATTAATTACTAAGTTACTCTGAGAATATTTCCTATTTGGACATGGTTTTACAATTTTTACTTCTTTTCGGCCGTATTAATGTCTCTATTGTATTTTTTTAATAATAATTTCATTACACGAATACTTCATTTGGATGATTGCGGTGAAAATGAGAAATTTTTCAGGCAATTTAACATGAGTTTGGATATTCATTTTTGCAAAAAGAAGAGTCATCTCAACTTATAAGCTCCTAACCGATAAATCCGAAACTGAACTTAAAAAATCTGATCCAATCCAAGCTTATTTGGATTGGATTTGGATTGTCATTTCTTCAATCCGAAAATCGAAAATCCAAACCAAAATTTTCACGTGCAATCCGAACGCCCACCCCTTGTAAAGAGTCTAGGAGTATTTGTTATATTTCTAATGAACAAATTAAGGTTAGTATGATCAATTTCATTGTTAATTAATGTTAAAAAATGAATTTCTTAATATGTTTGAAAACAACCATAAAATCAATTAAAGTGGACCGGGGAGGGAGTAATATTTAATTGGTCACATAAGAAAAGTCAACTTTTGTGTTCAACTTATTATGAATGGTGATAGGAGCTTATTATCTTATCCAAACAAATCTAATGAAAAATCAGAGTTTAATATTCTTATCATATATTTGCATTATTTGGAGGATGCATAGGTAGGTCTGTAATAGGTAGTAGGCCAAGGTTGATAGATTGTGGTTGTGCTTAACATGTGGTAGGTACAAGTCATGTCTTAATACGTGAGAGAATAATATATAAAAATAAAAATAAAAAGATATTTTATTTCGTATAAAATAATATTACTTAAATTCAAGTATAAGTTATATAGATCACTAACAAAACATTCGGTTTTGCATATGAGTTTAATATCGAAAATCAAACTTTTGCATAACATTTTGGATATTATCTTATATATTTGTATGAAAATTTATACTGGACTCAAACAAGGCATAAATAATGTAACTTTTTTATAATATGATTGATCTTTTTCATTTTATACAAATATCTTAAGAACTACGTGTTAACATTTAATAACGACGATGTAAAATCTTAAGGAAGATTATTGGTGATGGACTTAGAGATGTGGCAGGAGTCTGTGCATGGATTGCAAGGTTATACCAAGCGAGAATCTCGCGACTCAACATAGTTATTGGTGATGGACTTAGAGATCGTAAGGAAGAGGAGGAAGAGGGTCATGTATGGTCAACCCAAGATCAGGTGGGGGTGCTTTAACTAGTGACAAAGCGCAGGAGTTGGGAAAAAAGTTGTTGGCTATGGGAGCATGGAGGAGCATTGGGAACGCGAGTTGTATGTGGACCACAACAGCGGAGTGTATTAGAGTAGCTGCGAGAGAAGTGTTAGGGGTCTCGAAGGGTTTCTCTGGCGGCCACAAAGGTGACTGGTGGTGGAGTGAGGAGGTACAAGAGAAAGTGGAAGCCAAGCAAGCGGCATACTTGACACTGATAGAGAGTGATGTGTGGCTATAATTCCATAGTTTCGTACATTATTTGCCTTGCATTAAATATGCTTTAATGATAAATTATACTTTATTTGTGCGTAACAGAGTCTATTTTGTGTGTAGGTGAATTGAAGATGAAAGTAGAGCAAAAGGGATACTTAAGCGTTGAAAGCGTGCTTGAGAATAGTGAATGAGAAACCCTGGCGACGCCAGGCTTGAAGCTGGCGTTAGGCTGGCAAGGCTAGGTCCACTAGGCGTTAGGCTGGCGACGCCAGGCCTGGGGCGAGATCCAGTCCGAGTTTTGAAGATTTATTTCGTCTCCTGGTTTGACTAAGACTTGACCTACACGTTTAGGTCTTTTCCTACACATATAAATAGACCTAAAAATGCCACTTTGAGGAGAGACGAGAGATTGGACAGGGAGACCGACATTAGACAGGGGATTCGACCTGAGGAGGCAAGAACACACTAGGAGCAAGGCGGAGAATTCTTCAACGAGTTTTTCACTTCCTTCTTCCTATTTCCAGTATTGGTTATGAATTCTAGTATTGTAGTTATGCATACTATTATGAATAGCTAATTTATTATCTAGGATTTTGATAGAACCTATTGGAGGATGATTTTCCTGTTACGTTAATATAGATTTGCTGTAGCTTTTTCTCTAATTGTTCAACTACGTTTATATTGTGGTTGGTTGAAGAGCTCTCAATCGACTGTGCCTATTTAGTGTGTGTTACTCAGGAGAGAGTGCATATTTAAGTAGTTATTGAACAACATCACTCCCAACGTATATGAGGGGTAAAACGGAGGTATAAATGTGGGATTAGGGATAACGAAACCTTGGTGCGATCCGAGTGAGCCGTACTTAATGACAGCTAGCGTAATTCGGGAAAATATGTCTAGTAAATTGTGGTAGTTACTCGGGAGAGAATTACAACACTCAGAGCGCTCATGATCGGTAGAGAAAACTTAGGCAAATTTATAGAAAACATTGCTGAAAGGATTTAGACAATAGGGGAAATCATAACTCTAGACCTCCTTAATCTTGTCTCCAATCCTTATCCTTGTTAATTGATA